CCTCTGAACTCTCAGAAAACTCCATGGGAACAGGAATCATATTGACTATATTTCCTACCACAACCTTCTCTCTATCACTCCCAAACTCAGCACTTGTGACTTTAAGAAAAATACTTTATTTACTCTCAGAAGTTATTCCAATCCGTGACTGTAGACTGCAGTGATGAGACAGTAACCCTAAATTCTCCATTACTCCATACAGATTATGCCCTTCTGTTGTCAAGATATATTGCCAAGATAAAATGGTCTAAATTGCTTGTATAATTAAACCCAACAATTACTTTGCATTGAGAAGGACAAGTAATTTTATTTTAAATAATAAATAGATGCAAAAAGACCTTTGGGATTAGAAGAGCTCCAACTGATAAGAATAATAGGAAGTTATAGCCTAATTTTATTTCTTATAATCCTTTAGGATTATCAAAAGTAATGCTGAGTGAAGATAATAAGGGAAATAAACAATTAGAGAAAGAAGAAAACAATTGAGGGTGTTCAAAATTATTCTGTATTAAAAATTTTTAAATACACTGCCTATTTAATGCATTTGTGACGAACCACAATTTTGTGGATGGCTTACTTTTTATAGTTAAACTGGGGGGGTATATATTTTATTTTATTTATTTTTTTTACTCGTCATCAAATGTGTACAGAAAAGGTGTTCTGACATAGCAGAGAACATGCCAGTTTTTGTAACACAGAAAGGCTAAATAGAAAAGGCATTTGAATTTAAGTCAAGAAACTATACTTCTGGCTCAAACACAAACTGTAATTCTGAACAGACTGAATAAATTCTTTGGGTGTTAATTTCATATCTTGGAAAATAAGAGAGAGAATATTATGAGAATTTTAACGTATGAAATGTGTGTGATTCTGAAATACACCTAAAACTTGAGATGAAAAGAGCAGAGACCGAAATTCAACCTGTGAAAAATATGTCACAGAAAAAAGGAAAAAAAACCTTCAACCTAAATATGGCTGTTTTAACTTATAGGGAGAGCTCTATTAATGGAATTAAGATAGCTGGCATTAGCTGAATATGCTGTTTGACTTTTTGTTTTAATATGGCTACTGATAAACGAAAGAGTGACTGTGGTTGCTGATAGAAATACAGAAATGGGCCTGGAGAGAAAATACACAATTCCAGACAAGACAGAACTAAACAGAATCCCTATTGAACTTTGGTGACTGCAAGGCCATCGATATGACAAAAATCTTATCTATGGAATAATTCTATTTACACTGCTTACTCCAAAATGGACTGACAGAGAAGACAATCATCCACTTTAGGAGCTTTAAGCCTCACAGAAGTGAGGAAGGTCACTTTATAAAACACTTACCCAGGTCAGACATTTGGACCAATATGCTTTACCTTCATTATTTTAAGCAATTTTCAAACTGATACTATTATTACAGCTATCTTATCCATGGAGAAACTGAGACTTCCATTAAGTAGTCTGCCCAGAAATACTCATCCAGAGAGTGTTACAGTCAATTTGAACCTAGGCTGTCTAACTTCAGAGGCCCCCCTCGACAGATTAACTCCCCCTGTTACCTAAGGAGAAAACTGTGGCACACAGAATTAAAGTGACAGAACTGGCTAAGAACAATTTTAACATTTACCTTATGACTTGGTTTCTTAATATTTCATGTTTTTCACATCCTACCGAGTATAAGAACTTGGGTAAAAATTTAATATTTGCATATTAAGTAATATCTGTTTTATGTTATTTCTGTGTTTGCAGTTTGCCTAAATTCTGGAAGAAAAGATACTCAATTGTTACTCAGATATCTTGGTCTTATAGAATCAAAGAGAATATGAAGAATATATCTCTAAATGTTGTTTACGTTTACTTGTGAACTACCACAATAAAATTAAATAAATGACCTTAAAATAATATATGAAAAATTGAAGTTGGGGAGGAAATTAATCAAACTTATTTTGTATTAATTCACAAGTGAGAAAAGTATGCTCATTTGGCATACAGGATGAGTAAACTGGTGTGTATCGTGTTGTCATGTAAGACATTTTTCAGAAAATGTTCAAAGGGAAGGAAAGTAAATAGGACCAGCATGTTTTTAAATAGTACTGTAGTGAGTTTAGTTTTAAACTTATAATACCATATAGGTATGAATGTATTTTTTCATGCGTATTCCTTTATTTTCTAAACTTTTCCTAAAAAAAAAAAGAATAGAATGGGGGAAAAATCCTAATATTTGTATATATACATACAAGTGCTGAGGAGTGAAAGTCCTGAAGGGGTAAATAAATGAGACATGAAAAAAAAAAAAAAAAAATGAATCCTTGCAGGCTATGTCTAGCCAGACATTGTAATCCATCACTGATCCCTAAAGGGCACTAATAATATGTAAATGTGTGAATTAGAAAACACATTCAAGGCTGTTGATAAACTTGATAGGATAATCAGCACATGCTGACAGACTAATGAAACTGATGAACTGATAGGGCAGCTTATCTTCCAGGCCATTTTTTTCCTTGTCAAATGGAGGCTAATCAAAATGTATTAGGAGTAAAAGCAAACACTCAGGGGATTTAACCCATTTGATTAGGAGGTGAACTCACTCTCTGAGAAAATTATAGTTTCCTGAACCACTGAAACTATAAAACCTGATCAGCTGACAGATCTTCACATAAAATTAAACAGAAGTCAGCCACTACAATTATAGAAGAAATCTGGAATTTTAAATCATAGGGGGATCCTCCTGTAGAAAATTGGTAGGGTGCTTTTCAAGCCTGGGCAAAGAGACCACCTCTCTCTATAATGGAATATAAGACAAAGGAATAGGCAATAACCCTAGGGACACATTTATCTGTCGCTGCCTATGTGAGCTTAGCACTTGTGAAATCATACGAGAGACAGATCCCAAAGTAACAGATGAATTTTCAATCCAATTTATTTACATGAAATAATTGAATGAATTTTCTGAAAACCATTAATTATGGTGAACACCTCCTCTTTCTATTAATAATAGAGATATCACATGAATCCTCCTCTTTCTATTAATAATAGAGACATCACAGTCTATTGCTAAGGATCTCAGAGTCCTATCCTGATTTAAAGAAAGATGTCTAATTGAATCATTGAAGAAAATTAGAAATAAGGCCTTTCCAGTTAAAAACAGAATCATAAAGTAAAATTGCTATGCCTCTTTATACAAAGCTAAAGAAAGCAATCCCTTTAGAATTTATTTTGGTGTGAAAAATATCTGGCATTATTAAGATTGTTAAATTTTCGGATAAATCTGCACATTCTCAGCACACATTTTACATACCTGGACCTTTCAGATGAATGGCAAAATCCTGGACTGTAAGAAGCACTGTTTTAACTCATAAAAATTTAAGGGCTAAAGTACCTTTAATGACACTAGACTTTACCTCATGTAATCATATCAAAGAGGGAAAAGAACAATTAAGAAACACATCCCACTGTCCTTTTTTTTTTTTTTTCCCACTGTCCTTTTTAACATGAACATTAAATCACTTTATAGTTGAATAGGCAAACTACAGTGGGAATCCCAGAAACTGAGAATGGATTTATTAACCTTTCTTTCCAAATGACGACTTTTCCTGTTCACTGGAAAACAAACAAACAAAAAACACTGAGTCCCATTTCATCTTTAACTGTTTCTAAATTTTACTACAGATGATGTTTTCTAGTTTGAGAGGGTTTGAGACTTTTTGTGCATGCACAAATTAGTCAAATCATAGGATTTCAAAGTGTTATATAATCCTGAAGGTCACATAGTCTAATCTCATTTATTTTATATGCATATGGAAGGCCTAGAAATAGTACAAGACTTAACAAAATTTAATAAAAAGGGAAGGTGTGAGTTTGAAGTTTGTGTTTTTTAAGGAAAAAAACACAAGAAGTATTTGATTTGAGGACAAAAGTTCCTTCTATCTTGAAACAGTTATCAAAACATCCACAGGGTGCTTTAAATGTTGAGTATTCTGTTTCTGAGAGTCACATGCTGAGCAGGTGGTTCTCAGCTGTGCCTACCAGCCAACAGCTGTGCTAATACTTTCCTACAGGAGGGTTGGGATTAATCGAAGGTAAAAGGCATTTTATTAGATTTCTAGTTCTTGACCTCTTCTACCTAGAAAAATCCATGCCAGAGATTTATATACTGCCTACCTGACAAGATAATGAAGCTAATTACTCAATCTAGAAAAAGGGATAATTATAGGAACATACTTAAGGTCTTCAAATTCTTGTTCATTCTAAAATATTACATGAAAAAAACCTACTGAGATTCAAGGCCTGATCAATAAAAACAATATAAGTGGCTCAGTTATTCTCATCTTTTATGTACATCAAACCTCAGAATCTCCACATCATTGCAGATGTCTTTGTTGTTGTTTGTTTGAGGCAGTACTAGGGATTAAACCCAGGGGCATTGTACAACTGAGCTGTATCTCCAACACTTTTTATTTCTTATTTTGAGACAGGGTCTTGCCAAGTTGCCCAGGCTGGCCTAGAACTTGCAATCTCCTCTCTCAGCCTCCAAGTAGCTGGGATCACAGGCATATACCACTGCACCCAGCATAGGTTTAGTTTTGAGAATCTTCTGATTATACAAATAATATAATACAAATTATCATGAATTTGATACATTCATTGAAATGAATATGTACTTTATTAATCCCTAAACATAACTGAAAATATATACATATGTAGAAGGTATTGCTTCTTCATTTTCTAGATTCTAGCTAATGCTTGGTATGCAAATGGTTTTAAGAGCTTCTTACAACAATTCTAGAAAGTGGCCAATGCGCTAGAATTGCTAATTTAATGCATTTATTTTGCTAATGTCAGAAAAAGTGTGCTGTCAGAATTTGAACATTACTTCCCATTGTGAACAAAGTTTCCTTTGTTAGTACTAATAATATGATGCATTAGAATTCCATTTATCACAAGCCCAGATTCTAATTTCTCCACAGGTCACTGAAATGTCAATTAAAATATTAAAGTTTTACTTACCCATCATATTGTACAAGCTTTGTGGGGCAAACTGTCTTGGCATTTTCTGAATTGCTTCCTTGTATACACTCAGGGCTTCCTAATTTAAGAAGAAAAAAAAAAAGAAAGAAAGAGAGAGAGAGAGATAAATCATCATTAAAGTACAGGGATATTCGCTGAAAACAAGATAATAACATTTCTCCAAAGTGAAAACTACCCATTGCTATTTCTAAATGGTTCACTAGAGGAAAATAATTGAGTTGTCCTTTGGTAGCTTACTACCTTAATTTCACAAATGAAAATGCTCAGCCTAGTGAAGAATGCTATATAAAAATTTAGTTTAACAAGGAATCGAATGTTAGCAATGTTCTTTTAATATAAATTTTCCAGTTCACACGATTAGTCAATAAAAAAGAAAAAAAAGTCCATACTTGGAAGTTATTCATCAGTTATAAAGTTCATAGTTACTTAAATTCAAGCAATCCAGTGGGATCTAAATAAAATATCAGCAAACAAATAAATCTTATGACTACCGAGACTTGCTGAAATTATTAAATGCAATTAGTTTAAAAGCAGTACCTTTGTTGTTATATTGCAGTCTTTGTGAAAGAGTATCAGGGGCAAGGTAGAGGACAGTTTGAGGAGAGGAAGAAGACAGGGGCATCAGGATCACATGCAGACCTACCTTCTGTGAGCAAGGGAGGATGAGGCTGTTCACCTCCTAACCACAAAGTTACATCACTCCTCCACCCATTAAAAGAACAATATAATTTGCCTTTATTTCATAATAGTTTTAAAAAGAACTAAAGAGAAACAGAATTTACATGAAGCCACTTCCTACTTGAAATACAAAAAAAATATGTAACTTATAAAAATTATAACACTGGTTATAGGGAAACAGTTCTGTTAACTGTTTCTGGGATCATAAAATCATCAATGAGCCAATAAGCTTGAGAAACAATGCATGTGATTTTTTTTTCCTCCAACAGTCACAAATATATTAGCATCATTTTTTTCCTGAGAATTTTACAGGAAATGAATGTGCAACAATTTTATTTGCAAAAGTTTTTTCCCAAAGAAATTTGATGACAAAATCCTTTGACTGTGAATACATATTAGTTTCTGAAGGACAGCAGTGGCCCTGTAAAGAGATAATGGATAGGAAACATGGAGCCTGGAACAGAACAGGGGGCAGGAAAAGGACAGACAGGTTGTGGCCAAACCTCATAGCGTCCTTGCTCGTGATAGAGCTTTCCCAGGTTGTACAGACAGCTGGTAACGGAGCTCTTGTGTGCATGAGGGTCCTTCAGGTTTTCATCTGGGATATCAGAACACTTTAGGAACGTCCGCCGGGCTTCTTCTGTCTTTCCTTGATTCATTAGAATAATACCCGTGTTTAAGTACGCAGCTATGGGGGGAAAAATTAGAGAAGTGTGAGAAGATCATCTACACTATGGATGAAACAGTTATCTTTGCTTCAGTTTAGCTTCCATGGATTATTTCTTATTAAAAATGATAAATATTTATGGAACAAATACATGGGTTAGATAATGGTAGTGGGAATCATAAGCATCACTAAAAATATACACAAAATAGTCTCTCCCTTCACAGAACTCCAAATATGATTGAGGTTAAAATCTAATTGAATAAATCATAATATTTCTGAAAGTGAAATTGAGAGAAATAAAATTGTTAGAGATTTATCACTAGACTAGCAAGTACTCATGAAAAAGGAGCACCAAGGGTGTTCTCTGTGAAGCTGTAAGTCATAAAGGTAATTTTCACAAATGGGAAAAAAGTATTTAAAACCACAAAAAATTTGAATATTACTTACAAGCCAGGGTGGGCCTGCTCCCAATGGCCAATTTATAATAATGTAGGGCTTCTGCAAATCTGCTGTTCTCCTGTAGAAGTAACCCTCTGCAGGAGGAAAACAGAAATTTGGAGACAGGACTATATTACTATATATAAAACCACAAATTTTTATTTTATATTCCAAAAATAAAAATGGTTAAGAGTGCAATAAAATGCCGACTTGGTATTATAAACAAAATTTAAAGTGAAGGAAATGATTCCTCAGGAGAAAAAAATACTGGATAGGTGTCTGTTGCATTTATGTTCCATTAGAAAGAATTGAATATTTTCAAAAGCCTGAACTTTCCCCTCTCTGGGCATCTAGTTCCCCTGCACTAGAGTCACTGACCACCTGGATTTCTTCTAGGAGCATGCACACTTTCTCATCACTTCGGAGAGAAAACCTGTCTAAGACCATGATATATATATGGAAACTTGAGATGTCTCCCTCAATAGCTGTTCAGTGGGAAATATTTGTTCATGACTCCCTGAAAGGAAAAAGGTAGTCTAGGTCAACAACAAAAAACAGTGTGAATTTATTCAGGTGCCATGAAGGAATAAAGAATAGAACTGGAGCCTACCTACATTGCTATTTTCTTGCTGTTTGGTCTTAGTCAAATACACTTGAATTTCAGAATACTGTTCACGTTTCAATTCACTATGCTGAAACACATCTTTCTCTGTGAACCCTACGACTCCATAGGCCTCCCTAGGAGGCTCCTTAAATAATAGCCACATGTATTATCCTAGCTATTCCAGAGCTCACCTGCATGACTGAAATGAAAATCAATCATAATCATTTCTATGATAATAAGATGTCAAGGATCTGAACTAAATCCAAAATGCTCTGACAGAAGGGTTTTGGCCTATCCCATCTTCTTGTAATCAGTATGTATCTTATAGTTGGCATATCTACTGGGCCTGCGTATTCCTATTATTACTGCAAATTACACATCCAAATTGGCCACTAAGGAGACTTTTGAAAGGGTAGTACATGGAGATCTGAGAAAAAAAGAATACTACTGATAAAGAACACCTTTTGTTGAGTATTGCTATGGTCAGGTATGGTTGGAGTTATTCCCTGAAGGTGCGTGCACTGGGAACTTGGTCCTGTGTGTGGCAATGCTGGATGGTGAAAAGACCTTTCAGAGGTAAGCCTAATGGGAGGTGGATGGGTCATGAGGGCAACACTCATGGAATCAGCAATCAGTTCTTGCAAGAATGCACTATTGTAAAAGAGTAAGACTGCCCCCCACCCAGCTCTGGCTTCCTGTCTCACCATCTGATCTCTCCCTCTTATGTACTCCTGCAATTATGATGCTACCGTGATGTGAGGCAGCTAGAGAAGCACCAGCCAGAGCTGGTACCACCCTGTTTGGAATTCAAATATCTAGAAATGTGAAACAAAAAAAAATTAAAAAAACCTTTTTCTAAGCTAATACAAGCATAAAATACTTAGCTTGCTTATTTATTTATTTATTTTAATTTATCTGGTACCAGGGATTAAACCCAAGGGCACTTAATCACTGAGCAAAATCCTCAGCCCTTTTTTATATTTGATCTTGCTGAGTGGCTTAGGGCCTCTCACTAAGTTGCTGAGGCTGGCTTTGAACTCGTCATCCTCCTGCCTCAGCAGCCCCCTCCTCCTCCAGTTCCTAGAATTATATGTGTGTGCCACTGTGCCTGGCCATACTCAGCTTATTTAATGAACATGTTGAGAAAATATTTGAAGAAAATAATTTTCAAATGCAAGAATGTTCATTTGCCTCATCAGCATATATTAACTTTATTATCTCTAATATTTGCAAAAGGTCATTTGACTAAATCAGAGAATTCTCAAACATGTTAAGATCACTTTCATGTACAGTTCTCTAAAAATTTTGAGCAACAATTAATTTGATCATAAAATGACTATGCTTTGCTATTAGATGCTCATTATAGTTTCTGAGAAGAAAAGGCAAAGCTTCCTCTAGTACTCTGATGTTCACAAAAACAGTTGTTTTAAAGGTGAGTAAAATTGAAAAAGAAACACATTTTTCAGAAATGGATACTATTCTTCATAACAATAATCATATGAACATAATGCTTTTCAGTTAACGAAGCTAATATCTGTAATTTTGTCTTTATTACTTCCTTTCAAATTTAGATAAAAAAGCTCTTCTCTTTGATAGAAGGCTAATAGCACCAGAGAAGAAATACCATGCAAATATTTTATTCTATTTTTTCTAGTTTTCCTTATGAATAAAGTCTATCAATGAGCTCCTAATTGTTCAATAACTTCAATATACTTCCCCATTACAACTTCCTTACTTTTAAACCTACAAAAAGGTTCACGAGACTCTTAGAGGGAAAGAAAATGTTCTACAATGTTTACTCATTCATCTTATTCCTCTACTGCTTATTACTGTTCTTCCCTTTAAAGTCAGATTTCCTTTAAGAGTATTCTGTGGTGCATATATTTAATATGTCAAATCCCATTTAACCCTTTGATCCATTTTAGGCTCTATTTCCAGATTTCCTACTGAAATCTCCCATCAAATTTTTACTGATAATCGAACTCCCAAAACAGTGGATTGATCAGAGTTGCCCACTCAAAGAGACTGCTGAATACATACATCTTCCATCCTAAATTCTATTGCCTTAGTTTTAGAAGACCACAGTCTCCCATGGTCTGTTCCATTTTTTTTTTTTTATCCCATCCTGTGCAGAATGAGGAAGAAAGTGCCACTTCACTCTTCCACTCCTTGAAAGCATTTCAAAGAATTTTCTTCATCTCTTCTCTAGAAAATAGTCTCTGCATGAAATTGTGCGCAACTGTGGCTCATCTATGTGCTGACTATTCCCCCTGCTGAAGTAATGGACTCTCCCTGACATCCAGATCTGTTTGCAACAGTTGACTGAGCCAAGGCAATCTAGGGGCTCACTGGAATTTCAAAGTCAACACATTCAAAAATTGAACAGTGTCTATGGCTCAAAAATAAATAACTAAATAGATAAAAGAAATAAAAAGAAAAGATCTTCTCAGTAATTAACACCATCATTTACTTCAGTGGCTTTAATCAGAAACCTGATTATCAATCTTGCTCCTTACTTATTTGAACAATTACGTGTTTTGCAAAATCTCTGAAGCCCACTGATACTTGTTTTTTCTAAGTCTCTTCACTCTGTCCCTCAAGGTTCATCTTTATGGCTTTGTCAGGGCCCTTTATCTTTTCTGCCACCTGAATAATTGCAATAGTCCACTAATTAGTCTCTACATAATTACATTTCTAAAGGGCAAATATGCTATTAGGCTAGACAGACTGAACATGAAAGGAATGGGCACAGATCTCTAACAATGTGCCTAAAGCCCATAAACCTCTAAATGTATTTAGCCCCGTGGGATGCTCAGTGCTGATATATTATATTCTATCACTTTCCAATTCATAAAAGATACACAGGAGGAAGTAATAAATAGTATGATAACCACACCTGGAGAATCCTGTCATGCCTGACTTGTTCTTGGGAGAACCCTAGTCATATGCAGCAGCCAAGTTTCCAGGATTACATAAAATGGGGTGCTTTGAAGTAGAGAGTATCTACCTATATAATCTGAATAAAGTTATCAATGAACTGAGACCAAGGTAGAAGGCTATGATGGCTGGTTTCTCATGGGTAAGGACTGATTGGTATGGATGCCACAAATGTGAACAAGAAAGAGATGTGGTCACTATGGACACACAAGTTCCTGGGGAAGAGGAATTTCCTAGTGTGGAAAACTGCTACAGTAAAGGACAGTGAACCAAGTTTGCTCCATCCCAGGAAAAGACAGGGGAAGGTTCACATAGCCCAAGTGACGTTGACAGAGGCTGTGTGACAGCATTAAGAGTGTTGTCATCAGTCCAACATCACAGGGATGCAATAGAGGTTCAAGGAATTAACTAACTCTATCTGTTATGGTTAAGAAGAAGAAAGCCAGAACTAGAACTGCTCCTGATACTAAATCCCATGCCCTATCTAGAGGAAAAGACTAAAATAATACATTCTAGATATATATGCACTAACTTAGGCTTCCTTTTGCTCTATAACTCTCATATTTTGTATAACAATATCTTGTTTTAATACACTGAAAAGGAATCAAGTGTCATGTTGGCAGTTCATGATGAATTTGGGTCAATCCTAGCACTGTTTCCACTAGGCTTCTGTTACTGCTATTTCTGCATTGATAGAAAATTCTCCTTATTATACTGAAGATACGATACAGAAATAGAAATCCTTTACATTTCAATAATAATAATAATTTAGCAGTTAAACATATTCAATAGTTGTAATATGTCAGGTAGTTTATACATAATAATTTCTTATTCAACAGCAATCTTATATGAGGCAGGTCATTACTGGCTGATTTCACAGATGATAGATCCTGGGCAAAAAAAAAAATTAAATAAGAGGCAAAAGTTCACACATTACTGTTAAGAAGTACATCGAAATCCAAGCCCAACAGTCTGGCTATAATTTAGGACCTGTATTTTAGCTGATTTGTAGCAAAAGATTTTTTTCTATGGCTGGTTAAATTGATGACATAGTTTTTTTGTATGTTGATCGTGACAACAAATTCATCTGGTTTGTTTAGATATTAAAGAAATTTTAATAGACCATCAAGCCAGAACCTGGTTAGAAATAATTTCACCCACATTATGCAAATGGTATATATTAATGTGACATCATAGTGCCCTTTGGGGAAAAACTGGAAAAAAAATCTTCCTGATTTGTTTATAGGTGATAGGATTAATTTATATAACTGTGTATGTAGGAAGATACAGTATATCTGTTTAAAGAAGATTTCATTTCTCACATTTCTCCTCCAGTGATATGTCTTTCAGAACAGTCACTTAAATGACTGTCAGTAAAAAAGACTAAAATTGGGAAAGAGGAAGAATAAAGGATTGTCTTAGTAGAAAAAAAAATATATCTAAACATATGAGCCACAACTATTCATCTTAACACCTAAATTCTATATTTTCACTTCAAGAAAAATTAACAAAATGTTCTCCCTTAAGTCCTTTTAAATTTTTTAAAAATTTTGA